CAATAAAAACATCCTCAGGTGAGGATTGAAAAAAAAAAAATACAGATTGTATAAGAAATAAAGGAATATGTAATATAGCTATTACTGCCTGATTCAGTCTTGCATTACAATTGCATGATCATCAGAATGTGATATGGAGCCGAGCCGATTTGGTTCAGTGGATAGAGCGTCGGCCTTCAGACTGATGGGTCCAGGGTTTAATTCCGGTCAAGGGCACGTACCTCAGTTGCAGGTTCCCAGCCCTGGTCAGGGGCATGGGCCCTGGTCGGGGGCATGTGGGAGGCAACCAATCAATGTGTCTCTCTCACATCGATGTTTCTCTCTGTCTCTCCCTCTCCCTCCCACTCTCTCTAAAAGTCTATGGAAAAAATATCCTCGGGTGAGGATTAAAAAAAAAAAAGAAGAATGCGATATGGATACCAATGGAACCACACAGATAACTCAGCCACACAGCCCAATATAACGTCTAAATGAGTGGTAGGAATCCTAATATTTACAAATGGGTGCAACTCAGAAAATTGAATACAGTGATCTCTGGGGAAAAGTAAAAGGATGACATGGGCCAGGACATTGCTGTTTTTCATGACAGTCCTTTTAGTAGTATTTCACTTATAAAACTCCCTGTGTGAATAACGGATAACAATTAAAATCACAAGTCACAACAATAGTTTGTTGTCAAAGCAAGCCAGACAAATAGATGATATTGGGTCAGAGTCCACCAACGTGCGCTCTCTGCTCTGGGGAGCTGCACATTCAGAGCCCAGGGTGGGAAGAGCACACCAACCAGACCAGGGACCAAGGGCCAGCAGGATGGGGGAGGGGCACAGGGCAGAGAAGAAAGCCACCCCGGAAGGTCCTTCGCACCGTAACCCAGCCCTGGAGGGACAGTATGGTTTTCAATAAACATAGGCAAGAAGGGCAGGAAAATGCAATGTGTTTAGAAGATGCAGACGAGTTTGATCTGTCTGAACAAAGGCCTGATGGGGCTGTTGGGACAATAGGCTTCACTTCTCAAGCCTGGGCCTTGGGGAGGCACGGGTATGTAAGGCGACTAGAGAGGCGCTGTCTGAAGCTCTGAGGGTAGAGGGTTGGATTTTCGTTTTCTGCCTTTTCCTGAGATGTTCCTACCAGCACTCAGAGACGAATTCACTGGGGAGCTAATGGCATTGGGGCTTCAAGGCCCTTTACAGGCTCGAGGCTTTGCCAGGGACCATGGCAAAGTGTGCTGACGGGGTCGCACATAAGCACCTCTTTTAAGTTTGCAACACTCAACCCCTCTAATTGCAGATCTAACTGCTCCTTCCACTATGACCTCCCCTCCATCGTATTTCCTACCAGGTGGCACTGGAGTGGGATTTTAGCGTTTTTGGCTAAACGGAAGTGGAGCAGAGATGGATTTACTTTGGGTTTGATGGGATATATCTGCAGTCACATCTCTCTGTAAGTTATTGTGAGTCATCCGGTATAGGAATGGCTTCCAGAAATGCTTCCACTGCCTACCACACCAACTGGCCTGGCATGGTGACACGACGGGCAGGACCAGAGGAGTGTGTGAGCGTGGACAGTGGCAGCTGGCACCAGGGATCATGGAAAGAAACAAGGCTTCAACTCTGTGGAGCCAGTTGCTGGTCTGTGGAAAATTCTCTCACATCTTACAACGAATGTATAAAAGAAAAGTGACAGGATTCTCAAATTTGATGGCAACCCTAAAAATTTATATGACCAGTAACAAGTTTGAAGCCTAAATAAATTTCAACCATTCATGCTCTAAGAAAGCCTAAATTTATCTTTCTATTCTCTCCAGAGAAAATATCCCCAAATCAGTCATTCAAAGATGCAGAGTATAAAGCCAAAAAAAGTGAAAAAAAGTATTATAGAAGATTGAGAAGTAGTTAGATTTATTTTTATGTATTTTGTTATATTGCTAGCATCTTAAAATTTATACTGTTGATTTTTCTTATTCTAAGTAATTTTTATATTTAATTTTGAATTTGTAATTTTGTATATTTTTTTGTTAAGAGGGCCCCTAATTTGTTTAAGCTCTATAGGACCAACAAAACCTGCATCTACCCTTGCCAGGACAATTAAAAAATGATAGTTTTGCCCTATCCGGTTTGGCTCAGTGGACAGAGCGTCGACCTGTGAATTGAAAGGTCCCAGGTTCGATTCTGGTCAAGGGCACATGCCCGGGTTGTGGGCTCGATCCCCAGTGGGGGGCTTGCAGGAGACAGCTGATCAATGATTATCTCTTCCTTCCTCTCTGAAATCAATAAAATATATTTTTTAAAAAGCATGGTTTTCTATGATACTTTTGTTCACCTGTCACACAAAATATGACAGACATCCATTTCCATGAATTCTGCTATATGTATTGGTTGGTGGTGGTGATGGGGTGTCCAAAGCCCAGCAGCTAGGGAGGGGCTCCTGAGTGGTGTGGGTGGCTGGGCCTGGAAGGGAAGGGATTTTAGAGGGACTGCAGGATTGGGTGGTGGAGAGTGAAGGAGGAAGCGGGGAGAATGGGGAGGCCTTCGTGCAGAGGTCGCACTCTGGGCCAGGGAGGCCACACAGGTTGCTTTTGTGGAGACTCTCAGAAACGGGGAGCAAAGTGTCTAGTGCTGCCCTGACCTGAACCAATGTCTGAAAGATCAAGGGCAGTGATATTCATCTCTTGGGAGGCCCCCTCCCTCTTGTTCTACCTTTCAGCAAACGGAACCCAGACTCGGGAATTCAGAACACATAACTGTCTCAGGAGCAGCTGAGGGTAGCAAACTCAATATAATAGCAGAACATTGGGTACCGGTGACGGGGTGGGCATTCTGGGCCACAAGGCCACAGCAAATGTGCCAAACACTGCATTAGTTAAGGACTCAAAAAGGATCACCACGAGCTACCTTTTCATTCCTCTCTGGCCTGTCTGGCTCAAGGCCAGATTTTCCCAATCTGCGCCCCATTACTAAGAACACGATTAGACAATCTGTCCCTCTTTGCACAGGTTGCAACGACCTTGTGTAGCCTGTTTGTCCCAGCCGCAGACCATCGGGCCATCCTCCTCAGCCAGGCGGGCGGGCGGGCAGGAAGCATCAGCATAATGCTCAAGAGGGAGCCCGGAGTCCTGGGCTCCCTGACAAGACTCCTAATGGCAGGATCTTTATTTCACCCTTCCCCCGCTTAAAAAAAACACGAAAAAAAACCCACCCCACATTGTTGGCAAATTGCAAACACATAGATATCTTCTAAATAAGTTAAAATTTGTAAGACCCTTAGAATTGTGCCTGCCGTATTGCAAGTTCTATGTAACCATCTGTTAAAATGTTTTAAAACCCCTCTGTATCTTCAAGGATCTAAGTTTGAAAAACCACAGAAACCTGTAACAACTCACCAGGATTTACACAGAAGTGCCCCACTCCTAAGCTGGCTTTTCCTCAAAGCCTCAAGGAAAGAAAGTTTTAGGGTGGAATGTAAAAGTTACTAAATATCCCAGTGACAGTCACTCTGAAAAGGCAGTGAGGGGGCTTGGAGGGAGGGGGGAGGGGCAGGAGAGCAACTCCCCTCCCTCCGCCCTCCCCCCCCCCCCCCCCAATACAGCGGATGTGCTTTCCAGGAAGAATGTTCCCAGGAGCTTCACATTCTAGCTCATATAAGGTTTGGGATCTCCTTTTTGTGCAGGAGGGGAAGGTGATGGAGCCAGAGGATAGCTTACAACGCTCCTTTAAGTCATGCATTCCTTCCCGCCTGAGTCTTGGGTCTTTAAAACCACAGAGGGAGGGCCCTCCAATACTAAACGTGAAGATTAACTTTTAAAGGGGGTCAGAGGGTTCATATCCAGGTAAAGCACGATCCACTGTACACATGACGACTCACTTCAAATTCAGGACTGAAAACAGCCCGATTTTACACGGTGGGAAAACTTAGCATTTCCAGCCTGGTAGACCTGAAAGAGAAAATGCTCTTTGGATGCCAAGTCCATCTCCTCCCACAGCTCCTCTCCTGTCCATCTTCATCCTCCAGAACACAAGCGCCGGCCTTAACAAGCAAAGCGGGAGTAAGCCATCTTCCCACTCAACCTAACCCCTGCCTGGCAGTCCTCGCAGAACCAGGACCCACCGATTCATCCTGCAGTGGGAACCGCGCCCCTATCAGGCACTGAAGACGCCGAGGAAAATGTGGGGAACAAAACACACAAAAATGAAAGTGAGAAAAGAAAGGGGCTGCATTTTCCAACGCGAGCCTCAGGTTTACGCTCCGCTGCTTGGTTTTCATCCTGCGGGTCGGTTATTAGTAAGTTTCTCCAGTCGCTGAGTGGAGCCACTTTGAGGCTGTGGTTCCGAGTAAGTTTGCATTTAGGACGCTTGTGGACAAACAGCAAGCCGCCCAGGTCTCCCCGCAGCTGGGGTTTATACCTGGGGGAAACCACACCCATGTCCTGGCCTCCGGATCAATTAATTCAAAGGTCTTTCAACACCAACAGCTGTGACATTCAGGCCTGGGAGAAACATCTAAAGCCCTGGACTGATTTGCATAGTCAATATATTGTTACGTGCTCTCCCCTACGCAAAGGTCAAGTCACCTACAGTGAGCCATCCACGGCCAAAGGAGAGGGGCCCTGGGCGGCAGGCTTTAAGGAGTGCTAGCCACCACCACGGGGAAAAAGAGGTGCTCCCCTCCCGGCTCCTGGGGGGGAGAAGGTAAAGGGAAGGTCTATGCAGGAAACGAACACAAAGACTTCTTTCACTTATCACGCCTCGGTCAGCCGTCACCAGACGCCTACCGCGCACGGCCCAGCTGCGCGGGACCTTCCCCACCCCAGCCCGGCCCCGCGGCCACACGTGGCCCTGGGCCCAGGTCCCGCCCGCCCCAGAGGAGCCCTCTGGTCTGACTTTACTTCTGATCGGACTTTCCCAAGTGCCGAGTGGGTGTGGTGCGGGCAGCGTGCCTCCCGGCCCGCGGGGCTGCGCTCACTCGGACTCCGCCAGGGCGCAGGGGAGGGCCGCAGCGCTCACCTGTCCCGCCCGCAGCGCCAGCTGCACGGCCAACTCGAAGCACTCTTCCCAGGGGCCCCCGGCGGACGCCGCCGGGTCCTCGAGGCTTGGCTTCATCGCGTCCTCGCGGGGCCCCGCCACCTCCAGCCCTCCACGCCGGTCTCCCACCGGCTCCCACCGCTCCAGAACCAGACTCCGCACTCCCTCTTCTTACTCCCGCCACTCGCGCCTCGGCTTTCTCGAGCCCCACTACCGTGCCGCGGGAAGGGCGAGCAGCGGACCCGGGCGGGGGTGGGGGGAAAGCCGCGCCGCGCGTCCCAAGCCCCGCCCCGAGCCCTGCCCCCCGCTGAGCCCCGCCCCTCACGGCTCTCAGCTCTGCTTTGCGCTGAGCCCGCCCAGCCCCGCCCGAGACCCTGCCTCGAGCCCGCCCCTCTCCGCCGAGCCCCGCCCTGCCCAGGGCTGAGTGCCGCTTCACATTTCTCCAGAACCCCGCCCCTCCTCTCCTGGCCCCGCCCCTCAACACCGAACCACGCCTCCCTCCGTCGAGCCCCGCCCTGCCCAGGGCTGAGTGCCGCTTCACAATTCACCAGAGCCCCGCCCCTCCCCTCTTGGCCCCGCCTCTCATCACATAGCCACGCCTCCCTCCGTCGAGCCCCGCCCTGCCCAGGTCTAAGTACCGCTTCACATTTCACCAGATCCCCGCCTCTCCTCGCAAAGCCCCGCCCCTCTCCGCCGAGCTCCGCCCCTCCTCGCTGCGCACCCTGCCTTCCGTTCCTCCGGCCCCGCCTCTCTCCTCAAGCCCCGCCCCCTCCTAGCTCTGATGGATCCTGGACAGCACTCTGGTCGGCACTGGTAGGGCGGGAGAAGGGAGGGTGCCGGGACGGGGGCCTGCGGTAGAAGCCTTTGAGCCTGACCGGAGCCGGGTCCGGGGCAGGCTGCCATCTGGGCGGGCATGCGCGGCTGAGGCTACGACTCAGCCCAGCACGGATGTGCTATCGGTCCCAACTGGGGGCGCCTCCGACCCTCTCGCCCAAGCCCGGCGGCCCGCGCACGCGTGGCCCGAGGGGCGGTCACATCCTAACTTAGGTCAGACCTAAAGGAACTTCTTCAACTCCTAGCGGGTCGCTCCGAGTGGAAGACCGCTGGGTGCCCGATGATGTTCTCCTCCCGCTCGGTCGGCCGTGGCGCTAGTCCTCCTCGCTCGCGGCAGAGAGCACAAAGCTCCTGTGTTCCCGAATGCTTGGATGCAAACGACAAGCTCAAAACTAAACACTAGGATGACAGTTTCTGGATTTTATAACTGTCTGAACTCAAAACTCCGATGTAGAGCCCTAACTGGGTGACTGGCCCCTCTCGGTAATGAGGATGACCTTTTCCACCTTGGATCCTTGAACGCTGCGGAACGCCGGTACCACCTAAACATAAACAAACAAAAAAGCATTTCCCGAGAGAGGGACACACTCCGAGGTATCCAGGAGTTTAATTTCATAAGCTGCTGTGCCTACTACTGCTTTATAAAAGATGCTGACCCACATAAAATTATTCTGCAGTGCCATGACTGAAAGCCTAGAGAACAATGGGAGTTTGTGCAGGAAACTTGGTGGGGTATCTTTTACCCAATTAACCTAATGATGGGATTAAATGTTTTTAGCTTTTGTCCATGAGCACTGTACGTTAAATAAAGTTTCACAATACTCATTGTAGAGAGACTGTAGGTGTATGGTAGGAGACAAAAAGAACAAGGAGGAATCAGGAATCCAGAGCTGGGTAGGGCTTTCGTCTCTTCCTCCGCCTTGCCCAGTATTCTAGTCCCACAGCTCCAGGATTGCCTCAGCTCCAACCATAGGCCAGTCTGGGGCAGCTGGGCGCATGTGAGTCTACACCATTATTTTTGTTCACCTTTTTCATTATTTTCAAGATAGGAAGCTGGACTTCTAAAAATATTTAATTAAGACTGTGCTCTGAATGCTGCATTTTAAAATGAAATACATGCAGTTGTTGATTTTCATGGCAGTTTTTCATTCGAGATTACCAAGCAAAATTAGAAGTCATGAAATTTCTCTTTGGCCTCTTTTCAGCTCCCCTTTCTGGTCAGCTCTCCCCTCACCCCTACTTTCCACCTGGATCAATCTGAAAGCTCAGTTATATCTTTAGATAAACTCTTATTCCAGATCTCAGCCTATCTAAAAAATCGAGAGAGAAAGCCTTCATAACTTCTTTGTCTAACTTCCAAATATTTTAAGGCAGAATCATGTGGTTTTTATCAGTATGACATTTGGAGCCATCCAGATTTTCTTAAGTTAAAACATTGGCTTCAGTTCTTCCTTGTGTGGATTTGAGCAAGTTACAAATATCCTCTTTGCCTCAGTTTCCTCAACTGTAAAAACATTTTTTGGTAAGCGTTATATGGGTTGATATACATGTGCTTTGTACTTGTGTGTTTACTAATGTTACTAAAAACTTGCTCACCACCAATGTTGCCTCCAGGGATCAGCATACGGCATGGCACATAACAGGTGCTTAATAAATGTCTGTGAATCATTGAATATTGAAATCAGCTTTTTCTAACGGATTATCCAGGTTTCTCCTGCTTCAGTGATGATTCTTCATGGCAACGTAAAATATTCCTCACCAGTCCGTACATTGCCTCTTTAATGCAGGAAGCCACGTTAACTTTGGTAAGCCCCCAGAGTACGGTGCCCTGCCTCGAAAGACTTCCTACCTGGGCCTGCTCACCCCTCCTGCAAGGGTGAAGCCTCGGTGGGCACGCAGGTCACCAGGAAGAGGTAGCAAGGTGCCTGCACAGGGTCCTTTGTCTCCTGTGTCTTGCCCTTTATGTCCTTTTAAATCTGGGAGCCCCTCCCCTCATGTCCTTTCCGAAACAAAGCAAAGTCTAAATAAACAAAATGTCAAATGAAGTTTTTCCTTTTTTCTACCTACTTCTCTGGCTTCCCAGTTACTTTGAAATCAGTATCCAGGGTCAAGATGTGCTGATTTGGACATTTGCTGAGCTTTTTTTTTTTTTTCCCCCATCTCATTTAATCCCTAGAAGTGGGCCCAGGACCATTCTTAACCTCATATGTGGAAAGTTGGTGTCATGGGCCGATTTGTGTCACCCCCAAAATTCATATGTTGAACCCAAACCCCCAGGTACCTCATTATGTGACCATTATCTGGAGAGAGGCCTGTTAAAGAGACAACTGACTGACAAATCTCCGAGGGAAGGTGGGAGGGAGAGAGATTAACCAAAGAACTTACATACCTAAATACATAACCCATGGACACAGACAATATTTCGGTGAAGGCCTGGGGAGAGGCAGGAGAGGGGTGGAGGAGGTAAATGGGAGGAGGAGGGGATATCTGTAATACTTTCAACAATAAAGATACATTTTAAAAAGGGATAATGGATGAACCCAGTTCTATATGAATGGTGGTGTCCCTATAAGAAGACAGAATTGGACACAGTCACAAGAAGGAGGAGGAGGTCATCTGCAAGACAAGGTGAGAGGCCTCAGGAGAAGCCAAACCTGAGGACACCTTGATCTTGGATTTCTAGCCTCCAGAACTGTGAGAAAATACATTTGTGTCGCTTAAGTCCCCAATCTGTAGTACTTTGTCCTGGCGGCTCTAACAAACTGATATAGGTGGGAGCCAAAGACGTTTGCCTCATGCATTACTATGTTTTGTGTTTTTAGGAGCTCTTCTCAGCTAAGAGGCCATGTAAAGGGCATCGGGGACTATAGCTCTCCAGAACAGAACAGCAGAAGGAACCCTTCTGTCCGCAACCTGGCGCTTACTCAGGGTTACTTATGCAATAGAGTCAGGCAGCACCACAACTTCTCACAGTCAGACAGATAACTACCAGCAAGGGCTCTGTATTTCAGTATCACCCAACACTCTGTGCACAGCCCTGCAACAAAGAACTATTCCAGGAGTCCTTGCAAGAAGCTCTGTCCCAGCAGAATTGTCTCTAAAACGCAGTCTCTGCAGAGTTATTTCTCCTTCTCATTTATTTCCACTGTAAAACGGAAGATGCCTTTTCCTACTCTGGAAAAAACTCCCAAGTCATTATCTCTCATTGAGGAAAGGATTCGTGTGGTGGTCATTACCCGGCCAGCTGAGTGTGACTGTACCAGATACTCCCTGAGAATTCACATGGCGCGTTGGCTTTCAGAACATTGCAACGCTTTTCTGGAACTCCTATTTCTTCTTCTCTATGCCCTCCACTCACTCCAGCCATGACCCCACAGTCATAGATAGGTCCTGGAGACGATGAAATTGTACTTCAATAACTGGTGCCACCTTCATTCTGTCAAACTCTAACCTGTAAGGTCTCAGTCCTATAAAAATTATTTATAATAAATAGATCCTACTGATACCATTGTGATGAATTGGTTATTAATAATAGGAAAGGAGCAAAGTGGAGAGCCAGACATGATAAGCGTAGCCATTCGGGCAGCTTTACCAGGAAGCTGCAACTTTGCACTCCCCAGGAAACCACTGGTCCATTCCCTGCAGGTTACTGGGGGAAGGGACTGGACATAAGGGAGATGGACACATGCACAGTGAGTTGGGGTGACATAGGGAAGGTGCCTGTCAGTCAAACGTGGGAACATATATCATTGGCCAGAAGGGGCAGGGCCACTGCAAGCCTGTGAAAATTTGGGGATACATAATTCCCCAAACAAAGGAGCTCTTGGCTTTCGGCTGTCTCCTGGCTCCCTTGCATTCGCCCGTGTGGCCCACAGCCATGTGGACCCCACACACAATGGTCCAATGAACTGCAGTGGGAAGCACAAACGAAGCTTGTCTGATGCTGAACTGGACTGTGCCCTACCTAACATGGCGTGAGGACTCTGGGCAGCAGCTTTAACTCTTGCCCTGTTGAAGTCACGGATACACTCCTTCTGTGGCAGGACAGAGGGAAATGGAACCTTGGGAACTCAGGGGTGTAATTCCACAGAAATAAAACTTTCGACAATACCCCAACCTCTGTGGGGGCCTCCGGAAATTCTTATTCCAGCAGCAGCACCCCAAAAAACCCACTTCCCCCAGCAACAGGCGAGGGACGAGGAGATCTCCCCACTGATAACACCACCAGAAAGTGGCCCAGGCTTCCTAAAATATTAATTCTTTCAGTATTTCCAGTTCCGTGAATCGGAAATTCTTCATGATGACGCTTATTAAGTGAATGATACAGAGCAGATGATATTTCATAATCTATAGACTCAGAGGTATACAACATGCAACTCCCTTTTCTGGTATTTCCCCATAACTGAATTCTCTTTTTAGCTTCCCCTCCAGCATGAT